GTGTGCGTGTGTGTGTGTGTGTCTATGTGTACGTGCTCTTCTCCACTTCACCCACACGCCATCATCACCACCTCTCATTTTCGTGTGTGTTTGCTCACATCCTTCCATTCCCACTCTCAATACCACCACCACCACCTCCCTCCCTCCTTCCTTTTTCTGCTGTCGCCACAGAGGGCCCTTGAGCCGGCAGCTGTCCTCCCCCTCCACCAACCACCACTGCTCTGGTGGGATGAACAGACGGGCGCTGCCATGTGATGACCATCCAGCCACGCTTGTGCGATTGCGGAAGCAGCAGCAGCAACTCACACCGCAAAGCAAGCGAGCGATGAGCAACGTGAGTGCATCACTGCACATGCATGTGTGTATGCTGCGCACCGCATCAGTGTGCGTGTTTTGTGGTCGCTGTCTCTGCTGCTCCTGTCTCCCCTTGTTGTCCCACATCAATGTGCATGCATGTGTGTCGTGCGGCTGCCTGTTTTGCCTTGCTTGATGCGTTGTCTCATTCGTCGTTCTCACACACAACCGCCTGCACACCTGCACATTCTCCACCTTGCAGCCGCTGCTCGTCTTTCCCTCTCTTTCTCGCCCTCCCTGGCGGCCATCACAACAACAACAACAGCAGCAGCAGCAGCCAACACACCCTCCACCGCCGATGCAGTAGCAGCAGAGGATGCACCACCACCACCACTTGCTGCTGAGCACATTCCCCAGCCAACCAAGCAAGCAGCAACAAACCCATCGCCCAATGCTGACGGAAGCTGGCTGTTTGCAGCTGGGAACAGGTGGCGACAGCACAAGTTGCGTTTTAGGCTGGAAGCAGCAGCAGCAGAGGTGAGCGAGAAGAAGAGGGAAAGGGAGAGGAGATGTGTGTTGGCTGGATGGATGGATGGATGAGGTGGGGTGGGAGATGCTGGGTGTGGTGTGGCTGGCTGGCTGGTGACAGAGGATGGTGTGAGGCAGAGGGATGGTGGGAAGGATGGGGTACAGCATGTCTTGTTCCTTCCCTTCTGTTTTTCTGTTTTCTCTGTCTTCCCTTTCTTCTCCTTCACACACACACACGCATGCGCAATACCAGCAGTGGCAGCAGCAGGTAGCTGCGCAAGTATCCATGCTCCCTCTTCCCTCCCACTCACTCATTTACCATGCTGGTGCTCGCACACAACCACGCTTACAGGTGATGCACACGCACAAGCAGGATGAGGGAAATGTCGAGGATACTTGTCACGCGTGCCAGCTGCACTCGCCTCACACATGGTATGTGGGTGGTGATGGGTGGTTGGTTGATGTGTGTGATGGAGTATGGGGATGGGGTTGTGGTGATGGTGATGGGGTGCGGTGAAGGGAACAAGAGGAAGGAGGGATGATGGGGGATGATGGTCACACGCCAACACACACACACACGCACACACGTGGTGCGTGTGATGTCACTCACTTCTTCTGCTGTGCTGACATAATGGCTTGCTCTGTGCCTGTTGTGTTGTGTTCCCACTCACGTTCCCTGCAACCACACGCACACACGCACACACACATGCACAGGTGGTGAGGTACCAGCACACATCAGGATGTTGATGGAAGCGGACTCGCATGCCGGCTGCTGCAGCAGCAACTCCCCCGATTCGGCTGCCGCTGCTGTGCTCATGCAGTGTTCCCATATGCGTGAGCAAGGTGAGCCCATCATGCATGCTTTGGTTGGCACATGGTGCATGTGTTGTTGTTGCTGCTGTTGTGTGTGCGGTGTTGCTGTTGCTGCTGCTGTGCCTCGTGCAGCAGTGTAGCTGTGCGACTCACATGCCATGTGTATGTGCATGTGGCTGCAAGGGGGGCGACTGCGTGACGATCGTTGGAGGATGATGGGCGGGTGCACACATGATGGGTTGGGAGGAGCAGCTGTGGACACACACATCCATGGTCATGGGGGGGGGGGGTCACATCCAACCACAGCGACGCAGTCATGTGCCAGCAGGTGTGTGTGTGTGTGTGTGTGTGTGTGTGTGTGTGTGTGTGTGTGTGTGTGTGTGTGTGTGTGTGTGTGTGGTGAGGGCGGCGAGGAGAAGGAAGCAGAGGAGGGAGCAGGAAGGTGAACGCGTCTGCTGTGCTCACATGCCATACCTGTGTGTTGTGTGTGATGATGTCGTTGTGTCTTTTCGTTGTGTGTGTTGGTTGTATGGGCACCAGGGCCACATCAGAAGAGGGCAAGGAAGCCGCCATGAACGACCCATCAGCATCATCATCCACCTTTCCCATTTCTCTCTCCTTTTTCGTTCTTCCACCTCAGCTCGGCCATCACCATCATCACCACCATCACCATCGACCGCACAGCCGCCATCACACGCCGGCTGACACCAGCCCCAATCTGGCGTGAGGCAGACCTTGCACATGTCACTCGCTCTCATGATGAGGTGAGCAATGTGCGTGTGTGTGTGTGTGCATGGTGGTGAGTGGGACAACATGCGTGCGTGTGGTTGGGTGTCAATGCGGGCGGTTGGATGAGGCTGGCGTGCGGTTGATGATGCTTCGCTGTCAACCTCACCCCCCCTGCATTCTTCCCATCTTGTGTGCGTGCACACACATTTGACAGCGTTGAGGAGGCGCATGAAGCGGTGGAACCAACGACGATGAAGATGACGAGTGATGAAGGTGAGAAGGGCGACTGAGATGTGTGTGTGCGTGTGTTGGTTGGCATGTGATGTTTCCTTCTTCGCTTCCCTCTTTCCTTGTCTGTTCTGTCCACTCATGTGTCTTTCTTTTTCCCCCTTTTTTTTCGATTGATTTGGACACAGGGCCATGCATCCGTCTCCATCTATCCAACCGACCAAGCAAGCAGCCGAGCGAGCGAGCAAAGGACACGGCATGGCAAGGGGCCGTTTGTTTTCACCGTTTCCACCAACACCACCACCAGCAGCAGCTGATGGCTGGCTGCATTTGGATGAACGGGCCCTCTGCCTCTGGGCCATCTCCTCCTCCTCGTCCTCGTCATCGTCATTGGTCACCAACAGCGGCTGCGACCGTGAATGTGGAGGTGAGATGAATGGTGGTGGTGGTGGTGATGTGGGTGGCGTGTGATGTGTTGGGTGTGAACATCAGCATGTGTGGGTGTGATTGTGAAGTGCTGGTTGGATGTCGTTGGATCTGTTGGTGCTGGCAATGGGTGTTGTTGTCGTTGACAGCCCGATTCTGTGACAACTCACCTCTTTCTCCACACGCACACACAAACAGGGTGTGATGTACGTCGGTGTGCCGTTGCCTCGCATGACGACGACGCTGGTGGTGGTGAGTGTTTGTGGTGGATGTAGACGGCACACACACACGCATGTGCAGGTGTGATGCTTGTGGTGGTGGTGATGTGGTGTCTGTGTGTGGGGATGTGAATTGTGCGTGCACAGGTGGTGATTTGAGTGATGCGAATGTGACAAAGGAGGTGGATGTGGTTTGTTTCTGCCATGCAGGCTCACTTTGTCGTGACATTCTTGCTGATTCGGTTGTTTGCGCTTGCGCGTGTGTACATGTGTGTGATTTTGCACAGGACGGTGGCCGTTCTCTTCCCAAGCCCTCATGACACGACCAGGGCGATACACGCACACACGAATGTGCGGAAGAAGAAGGCGCAAGGTGAGACGCTGCCGCTGTGTGTGCTCTGTGTGTGTGTGTGTATGTGATGGGGTGGTAGCACACATGCGCACGCACGTACACGCAAACGCACGCATGTACACATACATGCCAACACACCACAGCAGGCATTGGCTGTGGGGTGGTTGCACTGACGTGTGTCTCACATGAATCAATCACACAACTCAAATGTGTGTGTGTGCGTGTGTGCGTGGCTGCAGGCGGACGTTGTGTGGGGTTTCCCCAACTGATTTCATTCCCCCCTTTGCCCTACCAATCGCCTTTGCTCTGTGTTATCATCATCATCAGCCTTCCCCATGCGATGTGTGGAGCTGTTGAGGCGTGATCGAGACAGCGGCCAACACAGGTATTTCAGCAGTGGTGGATACGGTGGTGGTGTGCCTGCTTGCTTGGTTGCTTGCTTGTTGGGTGTTTGTGTCGTTGGTCTTGTGTGTAGGTGATGCACCCCGCCCACAACATGCTGCATTTTCCCATGCGTGGTCCTTTGTGTCCCTCCTTTCCTGTCCTCACCACCACCGCTCATCGTTGTTCGTCTCTGGTTGGTTTCTCCTTGCCTCACAGGCATACACGCAGGCAGGCTGGCTCGCTGCTGCTGGTGCCGTTGCGCGTGTGCGCTGTGCACGGTGTTTGGACACGGCCCGTGCCCACCACTCTTCCCCCTTTCATCTCCCCTTTCTGCTCCATCAGCGATGACGATGGTGACCGTGGCATGTGATTGCGGTTCCCTTTTGTTCTGGCTTCGCTTTGGCACGTTGGCTGGCTGTCTGGCTGCACCAAGCACAGGTGAGGATGATTGTTAGCGGTTGGTTGGTTGGTGGTGGACTGAGTTGTGTGGAGTGGTGAGAAGCAGGGGGAAGGAGGGAAGTGACACGGTGATGGTGGTGGTGGTGGTGGTGATGGGGCGACGTGGGAGTGCAGAGCGAAAGGAGGGAGAATGAGGGGGAGTGATAACAGGGCGATGATGTTGGTTGGGGGGAATGGGGGTGCGTGTACACATGCACGTGATGTCCTTGGTGGTATCACATGACAATGACACATATATCAGTGGCTCATTCCTTTTGCTTGCACCTGTGATTGTGTGATTGTGGTGATGACTGCAGCAGGCAACACACGGCGGTGGATGCTGGATTGGATTGGCTGGGGTTGACTGGCCAATCATGTCATGTCGCCCATTTCTCTCCCTCCCTCCGTTGCTCATCTCAACTGGGGACACACACAGCGATGTGTGCTTGTGTGCACGTGTGCGTGTGTGTACATCGCCATCAATCACGCCGACAGCGACACGATGCACGAGGTGAGGGCACGCAATGGTGTGCGTGTTTTTGGTGGAAGGGGTTGAGGGGGCAAGTGGGAGGAAGGCGTTCATCATGGCCACCATCACCACCACGGCTGTGCACCTGGTCATGTTACCGTGCATTTGGGGGATGGAGATGAGGGGAGAGATGTTGTGGTTGTTGTGGTGGTTATGGTGGTTGCATTGTTATGTATGCGTGTGCATGGTGCACCGTCTCACTCTGCAATGCCATGTCTGACTGTGTGTGTGTGTGTGACTGCAGATGTGCGTGTGCGCATATGTCGGGCAGATGCGTTGATCGACGACGAGGTGTGTGTGATTGCGTGTGTGGTTGACCTTCGTGTCCTTGTGTCATCACAACAACACGCAACACCAAGCACATCATCATCACCCCCACGCCGCATGTGTTGTGGTTGTTGTTCACTCATGCATGGCGTGCTCACATCCACCCCCTCCTCTTGCTCCTTCCCCTTCCTCCTCCTCTCAGCTGCTGTCACCCCTTCCACTGTTTTCCTCCAACCCCCTTTTTCACACACACAGAGGAACCCATCCACATCCAGCACCCATGCCCATGCCCACACCCACACGGATGACACGCCATGGCGAGCTGTGCCACCTCAACCAACCCAACTCAACCCAGGCCAAGGAAAGGAAGGAGAGGGAAGCAAGGACACAAGACGTTGTGCTCCCAACAGATGTGCGTGCGTGTGTGTTGATGGACGGTGTTCTCCTTTCCCCCCTCCATCGCCTCGCCGCTTTCTTCCATGGCGATCTGGCTGGGTGGCTGTTGCCCCCTCCCCAATTGTTTGTTTTCTCTTCCGGCCCTTTGTGGCTGTTGGTTGTCTGTTGTGACTGTGAGAAGGAGGAGGGAGGAGGAGGAAGCGAAGAAGGGAAGGGGAGGGGAGGAGAGGGGTGCATGCTGTGCACAGCTGTGTGCGTGTGTGTGTGTGTGTTTCTTCTTCTTTTCCATCCCCCTTTCTTCTCCCCTTTCTTCTCCCTGCCCCTCCTCAGCCTGCAAGGCCTGTGAACCTGCGTTGCATTCACACACACAGTGCTGTTCCCCTTCCCCGCCTTCTCCCCCTTCTTCTTGTCTCATGAAAACCAACCAACCAAGCAACCAAGCAACCAACCAAGTCCGCCCTTCAACAAGCCAAAGCCAAAAGCAAACAGCAGTTGCCGCACAAACGCAGCAGTGGGCGATTATTTGTGGCATCTTCCACAAATCGCCCAAACACGAACCAACAAGATCGCACACACAAACAAGCAAAAGCAGCAGGCAAAACGCGAATCAAGGTGTGTGTTGAGTGGGTGGTGGTGGCTTGCGTTGTTCGTGTGCGTGGCTGGCGCAGGGTTGGTGGAGAGGAGGGCGAGGGTGCGCGTTGTGACGGGCACTCACTGGCGGTTCTGTTGTGGGTGGTCTCGTTTGGTTCCATGGACTGTGTGGGGTGTGGTGGGTGATGGTGTGATGGTGCACAGGTGCAAACAGACAACACGCACAGCACCGCCCACACCATGGATGTGTGCAGGGCCAAAGGCATGCAAGGCGTTGCCCATGGTCGGTGAGGGTCACATATGTGCTGCACAGGCCCATGGCACGCTGGCACCGTGAGTTTGGGTGAGTTTTGTCAATTGGTTTGACCGCTGTGTGGGTGTTTGTGTTTGTGTGTGAAGGAGGGAGAGGTGGGACGTGGCTGTGGTGGGTGTTGTGATCTCACACGCACTCCTGCTGCTGTGGATGTATTTGGCTCACGCACAGAGATGGATGATGGACTGCATCGACCCACACACATGAGTGTGAAAACACACGCACACATGGTGACAGGCAGTCTGATGCCTACCTCACGGTGCGTTGCACTTGCATGTGCGTGTGACTGTGACTGCGTGCATGTCGCTCATGCTGTGTCTGCTTGTGATTCACACTGTATGTGTGTATGTGTGTGATGGCTGCTTGCTTCCCTCTGTCTCACACATGTGCTTGTATTGATGGTGACACACACAGACAGACACACACACACAGTGGGTGTGCGTGCAGACACACATCCCCACACAGGCGGCCAAGGCAGGCAAGGCAGGGCACACTCTTCCTTCTCTCCCTGTCTCCCCTCTCTCCTCTCTCCCTCTGCTGCCACCATCGCTGCTGCATGGATGGACCAGTGGATGCAAGGCGTGTTGGATGATGCTGGCTGGCTGATGTCCTTCCCTCGGTGCGTGTGTGTGTGCGTGTGTGTTGCGCCACTGCTGCTGCTCTTGTTTCCCCCTGTTTGTCTGTTGTGTTTGTTGTGCGTTGCTGCTTCTCTGTGCTTGTGTGTGTGTGTGTTCACCACAGCCACGTCGTGTGCGCCCATCACCATCGTCTGTGCTCACGCACCTCCCATCTCTCCCTTTCTTCTTCTACTCCCTTTCCTCTTCCCTCTTCGTCATCCCCTCACACGCACACACACAAACACATGGACGCTTGTGCAGGGGAAGTGCAGGCCGTTTGTTGGAACCCAAGGCATGACACCCACAACCAAGCAAGGACACACGAGCAAGCATGGACACAGGACAAGCAAACAAGACGTGGGGCTGCCATAGACCACGCACCTTGTTGGAGAAGGAGGGGAGCGTGAGCGGGTGGTGTTGTGTTGTGTGTGTGTTGTGTTGTGTTGTTGTTGACAGCGTGCACGTCTCTCTCCTTGTATCCTTCCTCCCTCCCTTTCCCTTTCTCTGTTCTCTCTCTCTTCTCTCTTGCCACAGCATGCACACTGCTGCTGCTGCTGTTGTTGTTTTTGTTGGCTGAAGGCAATGATGGCGGTTGATGGGGGAGTGAAGCGGTGTGGCGCAGCACGGAGCTGTCGCTTGTTGTTGTGTGTGTGTTGTGTTTTGCTTGCAGTTGATATGGGATGCTTTCTCGCTTGTTCTTGACACGTGTGTGCGTGTATGTGTTTGCTTGCTGCAGTGTTGCTGAAGTGAAGTGGAAACATACAATGCAACACGCATGTGCAGCCGTGTGTATCGTGTGATGCTGCTGCTGGTGGTGGATGGTTGTGGATGGTTGCAGTGCAGTCAACACAGTGTGTGTTGTTGTGACATGATTGGATTGGTGGTGGCTGGGCATGTGGCTGTGGGGTGGGTGTTGCATGCAGGTGAGGACAGCAGCAGCTGTGAGCGTGGGGAGTGGGGGAAAGGATGAAGAGAGTGATGGTGGCAGCGACTGGTGGTGGTGGCGGATGTGAACAGGGCTGATGGTGAAGAAGGTGGCAGTGTGAGCTTGATGGGTTTATGATGTGTTGGACCACATGCAGCATGAAACATGAACGAGACAGGGAAGGTAAGGGAGGGAAGGTAAGGAGTGGCGGCACAAAGTAGTGAACAAGGACAAGGGAAGGCATGCAAGCACATGGAAACAACAACAGCACTGGCAAGAATTGAAACAAGACAGGAGGGGTGGTGGAACGCAGGTGAAATAGACAAACAAGGCTTGTGGTGACAAGTTGGTGAAATAAGGGGACGAAGGGAAGCACGAATGCACACAATGGGTTGGTTGTGGTGCTGTGTGAAATGAAGTGAAGGACGAGTGATGTTGCGTGGAGATGTGCTGTGTGGCACTGAGTAGATGGAAGAGAGGAAGAGAGACGAGGGTGAATGAAGCATGTGGCAACAAGTGCAAAGCAACAATGCAACACATGGAATGTGGAAAGGCAAAGGGGAGAGAGAAGGAAACAAGTGAGTGAAGGGTGAGACAAAGGGACAAAGCAGCACATGCATGGATGTGTTGTTGTGTGTTGTGTTGTGGAGGTGGAGCAAAGGAAGCAGAAGCAGAAATATTGCAAGCAGTAGCACGCATGTGCGAAGAGAGAAGGTGGAGTGGGAAGAGGAGAAGGCGAATGCACCGAGTGTCGTACACACCTGATCATATCGCTGTTGGAGGCGAGAGAGGAAGCGCAGGTGATGTTGGGGAGTGAATCCAAGAAGCGAGGCGATGCTGTTGGGTGAAGTGGAGTGAAGTGAAGTGAAGTCGAGAGGGTGACAGAGCGGTGGGTGAGTGATGGTGTGGATTGAGAAAGGGTCGATTGCAGATGCGTGCAGGCATGGTGGGTGATGCTGTGGCACAGTGGCGAGTGAGTAGACTGAGGAGCGTTGTGGAGTGAACAAGGTGGATGCAAGGGAAGTTGTGGGTGCTTGCAAGCAACACGCACAGAGCAAGCAAGCGTACACACGAAGTGTCTGCAGTGAGTAGACGAGGGTGAATCCAATGGGAGTAGGGAATGTTGTGAGTGCTTGCGAGTGA